CTAGACAACCACTATATATATATATATATATATATATATATATATATGAATGATAGGAGAGGTCTCTTACGCCTTTCGCAACCACTCTCTCTTATGTCTCTCAATTGATATTTTATTATATATCATGTAATTTCCATCATGTCTACTATAAGATATTACTTAGATTTTAATTGATTGTATATCCCTATAATTTTCACTTTTCTTGTGGCTCTATCTAGCTCTCTCTTCCCTCTTACTTTGCTTTCTAAATAATATCATAAAACCGTAAAATTCACTTGACCTTGCCCAAAGTTGCATATTTCTTATAATATAATAAAGCAAAAAATATTGACTTAAATAAATAATAGATCTAAAACAATGAAAATTTAGATGCATATGTCATATAACATAATAAAATAAAAAATATTGTTTTAAATAAATAATGGATCTAAAGCAATGAAATTTATAAAAGATAATAACGAATGAAAGAGACGATAAAAGTAAGTAAAATAGGGAGTTTAAGGATTATTAACCTTCTCTTGTGACCATCTTCTAGAACCTCGAACGCCCTATCCTCCTTAGCTCCTCTAGCTCTTATAATTCTTCTTCTTCTTTTTGACACAAATTTTACAATTGTATTAAGCTAGAACTAAATTACAGAATCAGAAACAATAGTTTCAGAAAGGCATGAGCCTCCTTTAGCGAGAGAGTCTGCCAACACATTGGCCTCCCTATAAACATGAACAAAGGAAAAGGAAAACGAAGATGAGAGGTCTAAAATCTGAAGCAGCAAAGATTTGAGCTCCAATGGCAGCTTTTGCTCCCCTTTACACCACTTAATGACATTAAGAGAATCCCCTTCAAGGATACAAGAATACCCCCACATTCTTATCCACAAAGATACGCATACCATAGAAAAAGAGCAAACAAATATACAAAATTAGTTGTACGCATCCCAAGTAGACCTGCGTACATAAAGATCGCATTCCCCATCCAATCCCTAAGCACACCACCAAAGCTAGCTGGGTTTGGATTCCCTATTGAACTGCCGTCGAAATTAAGCTTGTATAAACCAAGGGGTGGAGCCACCCATCTTCCTATAAGTCTACCTTTAAAGAAACCCATATGAAACAAATTATTTAAATTTCTTCTGACATCCACTTTCGATATGTCCTGACCAGCTTTAGTAACTGAAAGATATCCAAATTGAGTGCAAAACTCTCTCCAAGATTTTTCTAAAAGGCAAACATTTCCCCTAAAAAACTCTCCTATTTCTCTCTTTCCAGATTTCCCATAGAATGACGCTTCTAGTAATTTGCCAAATAACAATCTCGGTTCGTGGCAAATCAGGTGTACAATTTTGTAAGATCCCAACCATTGAAGGTGGCATTACAAATGCAATCCCAAGCTGGACAAAGAACCAACTCCAGAGGTGAAGAGTAAAATGACAATGAAGCAAAAGATGATTATCAGATTCCCCATCCGCCTTAAACATGAGACAAATTTTTCTTATAATTTTTCG